GTCCTTTGTCCGGGGGAATTCCATTGGAACCGAGGATTACCTTCGTGTGACCCCCCCTCCCAGCGTTTTCGGTGACAGTGCCAAGATTCAGGCAGCAAAAGGGGAACATTGGCATGGAAACACTCGATGGTGTTGACCAAACGTCACCCACCATCCACCCCAGGACCCTCATGAGCCACTCTCTGAGAGCCAAAGCCCACCATGTGCTGGAAAACATTGGCACCTACGTTATTAACTATTATATATATCCCTTTGAGCAACAGGTCACTGTCTAATCAAAGCAGCGTGTGCTGGTGTTGTCCCAGAGCTGTGACACCCCCTCAGAGGTGACAGACACCGCCATCCTCATGTCACCCTCCCCCTCTGCTCTGCCCTGGGGAGGCCCCAGCTGGAGCTCTGGGACCAGTTGTGGGCTCCCCAGTTCCAGAAGGACAGGGAACTGCTGGAGAGGGTCCAGCAAAGGGCTCCAAAGCTGCTTTTGGGCCTGGAGCATCTCTGTGCTGAGGAAAGGCTGAGGGACTTGGGGCTGTTGAGTGTGGAGAAGAGAAGGCTGAGGGGGGGTCTGCTCAAGGCCTCTAAAGACTGGAAGGGGGGGTGTCAGGAGGATGGGGCCAGGCTTTTTGCAGTGGTGCCCAGGGCCAGGAGGAGAGGGACCGGGCCCCAACTGGGACAGGGGAAGTTCCACCTCAAGCTGAGGAGGAGCTTGTTTGGGGTGAGGGTGGCAGAGCCCTGGCAGAGGCTGCCCAGAGAGGGGCTGGAGTCTCCTTCTCTGGAGACATTCCCACCCCCCTGGACCCGTTCCTGTGGGACCTGCTCTGGGTGCCCCTGCTCTGGGTGGGGGTTGGAGGAGATGATCTCCAGAGGTCCCTTCCCACCCCACATCGTTCTGGCATTCTGTGAATTGTTCCTAATTCTGGGATAAAACCGAGTAACTATTAACTGGCCAAAACAAATTGGCTGGAGGGCTGTCCTGGGCTGAGTGACACAGGACTAATTTCTCTTCTAATGCTGGGGAAAACCGCACTTTTAGAAGAAAAAGTGTCTGAATTTGTGAAAATATTTACTTTATGTCCAGCTGGACTATGTGGGATTCAAGGCCTCAGTGTTTTCAAGCCTTGCCAGGCGCGGGGACGAGGACAGCGAGACCCAGGCACCTGCCCCAAGCTGCCAAGAGATTATTTCACACCATGAACGTCAAATTCAGTAGAAATGAGAAGGCCGGCGGAGGCTCAGCCTCTTCTCATCCTTTTAGGTGGTCCTGGCAGGGGAAGGGGAGGGGGATCTGCTGGGCTGTTGTCCCCCTTGTACCTGGGTTTGATGAATGGAAACTTCAGCCCCCGGAGCTGCCGGGTGGGTGCCTCTCCTGCCAGCACAAAATTCACACAACTCGGTAACGACGTGGAAAAGCGATGGGAGAGCTCGGGGCTGGGAGGAGTTTTCCTGAGGCATTTCCCAGGTTTATGATCATGAGAGGACAATGAAACTTCCCACTGCAAACCTGACTGTGCACCAAGGTGCCGCTCTAAGAAAGCTGGTCCCTCATGAAAAACATCCCAGGTCGGGAGAAACTCCATCTAAAACCATCCCGGGTCCCCCGCTGCAAACCTGACTGCGCACCAAGGTGCCGCTCTAAGAAAGTTGGTTCCTCATGAAAAACATGCCAGGTTGGGAGAAAATCCATCTAAAACCATCCTGGGTCAGGAGAAACTCCATCCAGGCCAGTAACAGTAGAGAGCCCTAGGATAAACTACCCGAAGAGTTGGCCTTAAATACTTTTAGCTAACGTATGGAATAATGCAAGAGACAAATGTAACCTGTCTTGAGCTAAAATGCATGTCTGCATCGGTGTCTTGGGTCAGGAGATACTCCATCTAAAACCATCCCGGGTCAGGAGAAACTCCATCCAGGCCAGTAACGGTAGAGACCCCTAAGATAAACTACCTGAAGAGTTGGCCTTAAATACTTTTAGATAACATATGGAATAATGCAAGAGACAAATGTAACCTGTCTTGAGCTAAAATGCATTTCTACATCGGTGTCTCTCCCTCCTCGGGGGTTGTCTCGGAGGTGGGTGCTGCAGGAGCCTGGTGGGACCTGGGTCTCCTGCACCCTGAGCCCGTTTCCCAGACCCAAGGTGAGCGCAGGGTCTGGGACAGCTTTTTCCCCACGTAAACGTGATAGTCGTTGCCCAACTGCTCTGTCTTCTTTAGAAAAGGGAGCATTGGAAAATGAAGAGCGATACAGGGAAGAAAAACTGCTCTGAACGTCTTGGGTGCTTCGGATTTGGAGGTCTGGGGGGGGTTCTGGTCATCTAGAAGTGTCTGGTGCCTGGTTGGTTGTTTTTGGGAAATAAAGCAGCAGCCTGTACCCTGGTAGGGTCCCCCCAGAAGGGACAGGGAGCCGGGCTGGTGACACTGGTGAAGCCCTCGGGAGCTCCTCAGGATCTCCAGGTCCTTCCTGGGAAGGACATTCTCCTGGTGGCCGTGGATGGTGGTGGTTCTGGGCTTGCAGGAGGCTGCATTTCCATAACGCACATGCAGGGACGGCAGCGCCGGAGGCAGATGGAGCTCTCTCATCAGCATCCTCATCAAAACCTGCTTTTTCCCCCCCAATAACAAGCTGCTGCTCCTGACGGCCAGCTCAGCTGGTCCCCAGCGCAGGGAGAGGCAGGTCATGGGCTTTCTGCTGCCTCCACAACAAGGATCCATCAGGGCCAGCGTGGCATCAGCGTGGAACACCAGGAGAGAGGGACCCACGGAGAGGGGATCTGTTGAGTCAGAAGGTGCTATTTTTAACCGAGCTGTAAAACAGCCCACCCAGAGCGAGACCGCGGGGCGAGAGCCGCCTCTCCTCACCTCATCAGCTGGAAACGCGGACGGAGGGAGCCCCTGCTCCCCGGGGCCACCCCGGCAGCGGAGGAGGCGGCGCTGGAGCAGGGAGAGATGCTGAGGAGCCGGGGTTCGGTCGTTCTTGCGAGGTGGTGGGCATCCAGAAGGCAAGTGAGACCCCCAGGAGCTTGCTGAGAAGATGGACGGAGCGTGGGGATGGTCGGTGTGACGGGGGAAGCAGAACCAGGGGCTGCGTTTAAGCCCAGGGTTGGTCTTTACCTCCAAAATCTTTCCATTCGCCCTTTCCCTGCACATCCACGCACCAGGGGACAGGCAAAGCTCTTCTGTGTCACAGAACCACAGAATCATAAACTGGTTTGGGTGGGAAGGGACTTTAAAGCCCCCCCAGTGCCACCCCCTGCCCTGGGCAGGGACATCTTCAACGAGACCAGGTTGCTCCAAGCCCCCTCCAACCTGCCCTTGAACCCCTCCAGGGATGGGGCAGCCACAGCTTCTCTGGGCAACCTGGGCCAGGCTCTCACCACCCTCAGGGGAAGAATTTCCTCCCCAGATCTCACCTCAATCTCCTCTTTTTCACCTCAAAACCCTTCCCCCTCGTCCTATGGCTCCCCTCCCTGATCCAGAGTCCCCCCCCACCTTTCCTGGAGCCCCTTGAGGGGCTGGAAGGGGCTTGAAGGTCTCCACTGGTTCCTCTCGCTCCAACCCGCAATGCACTTGGGAAGTGAATGAAAACCACGTTTCTCCAGAGAATCACACTCCCTCTCTCCTCCCTGCTCTATGAGCATTTTTCTGGGGGACAAACCAGCCCTGGTGTCAGATGTAGCTGAGCAGAGCAGGACCTGCAGGGACCGGGCCACCCGCCAGCTGGAACCAGACCAAAACTATCCTTTTCCAGCTCAACGTGGAAAACAACATCTTCGGAGGCCCCATCTGCAAAGGAACAGGGAGAGTGGATTCGAAGCTCTGGAAGTTGTTGGTTGTCTCATCCCGGTGTCACTTCTTGCGTGGTCTGGATCCTCCCCCGGTCCCATCCCTGGGGTGGAAGGAGAACCTGGGCACTGGTGGGGTTTCTGGAGATGCTTTGGTTGGGACTGGTCCATTCCACGCTGCTGGATGCTCCAAATTGTGAGGTTTCTGGCTGGGCCTGAGATCCATCAGAGGGTTTTGTGCGCTGTGAGGACTTGGGAAGTCATTTGAAAACTTGGAGAAGTCATTTATTTGCAGTGGGGAGGTTCATGCGAGGTGCACTTGGCCCACGGGCAACTGAGCAGGTGTCCTCAGAGCTGGCCCAGCTGCTGGGGTTGGCACCTCCGTGCCATCCATCCCGGTTTCCAGGTGGCTACGGAGGGAGCCTGGCTTTGACAAGAGCCCAGATTTTGGTAGCCAAGGTAGCCAAGAGGAATGACCCCATTAGTCCTCTCCCCGGGCTGGCCGGTGAGCTGTGGTTCATGGGGAGCTTGGTGTTCTCCCCCCGTGCCCCACCATGACGTGCGCAGGTCGGGATGCAGCAGGAAGAAGGTTCCTTTCCCCAGGGACACAGAAGTTCTCTCCATTGTCACTAGAAAATCCATATCCAGAGGAAGGAATAATGTTTTCCCCGTTGCCAGCCCGGCTGCAGAGGGGTTTTCTGGCCAGAAGTGGTCCCTTTGAAGGTTTTCCCCCAAAGCCAGTTGTTGCAGGGCGGGTTTGTTGCCCTTTCTTTGTCATCTCTCTGCAATCCAAGCAGAGGTGGTCCTTGCCTTGGGGCTGGAAAAGGGTCCAGAGCTGCACCGGGATCCTCGCCAGCCCACGGTGGCTGGTGGCCACCAAGCTCCCCCTGGCCACAGAGCTGGAATGGCCTGCAGAAATCCTGGGGTTCCTGAGAAATTCACTGTTTTCTTGAGAAATTCACTGTTTTCTTGAGAAATTCACTGTTTTCTCGTTGGTTTGAGTTGCTCCCCCTCGGGGAGAGGAGCCCTGGCAGCACCTGCGGGCTCAGAGGCTCAGTAGGTGGACCAGCACCCCACCTCACCAGCATCTCCACGGAGCTGGGAATCCCAGCCCCGCTCCCGCTGGGCTGTAGGAGGGTGGAAAAGGTCCCCTTAGTAGCCCAAGGAGCCAGGAGAGGCTCCCCATCCCTGACGCCCCACGTTCCTCTTCTCTTCTGCGCAGGAACGAACTCAACGACCACCTGGACACCATCGACTCCAACCTGGACAACCTTCAGACGATGCTGACCACCCACGGCTTCAGCGTGGACACCAGCGCGCTCTTAGATGTGAGTATCCTCTCCTTCCCTCCCGTCCATCCGTCTGTCCATCCATCCATCCCTCCATCCTTCCAGGAGCGGGTCCCCGGCTGCATCCGGCAGCACCAGGTCCTGGTGGCTGGTGGTGGCCGGTTGGACCACAGTAGCTTCAACCATGGCTTCTCCGCAGCACGCCTGGGCTCCTGGCTCGCTTGCTTTCCCCGGCGCTAATCGTTCTTTCCTTTGGCAGCTCTTTAGCCCTTCCATGACGGTTACGGACATGAACCTCCCCGACCTGGACAGCAGCCTGGCCAGCGTGAGTAGCTGTTACAGAAATCCCTCCCCGTGCACACACACACACACACACACAGAGGGGGGCTGCCAGAATGAAGTGTCTCCTGCTGTTCCGCAGCAGCCCCTCTCCGGGTGATTAAGGGGAGGCTCTGACAGGCTCTGACGAGCCCCCGGCCCGAGGGGAGGGGATGTTGGGGAGAGGAGGAACGTGGAGCATCACCCCCCTCCTCCCCGCACACGGGCTGGGGGAGCCACCAGGGGAGAAATAATTCAATTAGCACCGCGGCTTTTCTCCCGGCAGCTCGGAGGGAGAGCGGGGCTACTTCATCATTCATAGGCGGTTAATTAGGTGCTGAGACTCGCAGCTCTCCTGTGAGCTCTGCCCCCTGAACGGGGAGGCGCGCTCAAGCCCGGAGAGCTGCATGTGGTTTCCATAAACCCTCCTTTTGACTCTCTCCAGTCGTCGGGGGGGGGTTTCTCCAGGCAAACTCCATCGTGGGCCGTCTGATTTTATTGACTCGCGGCACCGACGCTCCTCTGCGAGAGCTGGTGTCACCTGATAAAGTCATTTGTCCTGAGTTAACGATGATGGGTCAAACGCAGCGTCCCGTGGCTGCGTGGAGAAGGTGCTGGCAGCAGCCAGGGGGGAAGCTGTGGTCAAAACCAGAAGGTCCCAGCCCCTCAGAGGAACTGGTAGCCCCAGGGCTGGAGTGCTCCCGGGCTGGGGCAGAGCCAGGTCCTTCTCCCCACCCTGGTTCAGAGCAGCATCTGGAGCCCCCCAGGTCCTGCCAGCGCCCCGCAGGCTCCAGCCCCGCAGCCCTACCCCCGTTTGCACAAAACAGAACAATTCCTTGAGAAAAACTGGGAGGGAAAGCAGGATAAACCCTCGTTTGGGTGCTACCCTGGGTGCAGGAGAGGGAGCCTGGGCTGGACCACACCAGGCTCCTGGTCCAGCTGATGCAGCAGGAGACCCTCAGTCTCCAACTCTTTCTTCCCCACACCCTCTCTGCTGTTTGGTTTGTGGTTTTTTTTTTTATCTGAAAAAGCACAAAGGGATCTTGTGTTCCCCCCCCCCTCCCCGGTGCAGAACAGGAAACATCTTGAAAGTTTTTGCAGAACAGGAAAGCCCGGATTTGGTCTCTTTGCTGGGGACCCGCAGGTGATGCAGCCGGCGCTCCTGGGGCGGCTGGAAGAAGGTGTTAATGCCGGTTGTAGGGAGCAGGGAGAGCACGGACACCACCAGTCCCCTCTCCAGAACCCACCTTGAGGGACCTCGGGGCTTCTCCCCAAGCCCAACAACCCTCACCAGCCCTTTTGGGGTACACCTCGCCCTGCGCTGAGGTGGGGGGACACCTCACCCTGCCCGGGACGGGGGTAAAATGCAGGATGGGGAGTTCACGGTCAATAATTCTGCAGCGTTTCTGGCACCTGGAACATTTCTCTACCTTTTTTTTGCTTCTTCCTGCTGCCTGGGGGTGCAACACAGACACCCTGTGGCTATTTCCAGGGAAAAAAGGGGCTGTGGGGGTAAGAGCAGAGGTGCAGAGAGCCGTTTCACACACGGGCAGGCAAAGAACCACCCCAAAAACCATTGAAGGGAGTTTCCCACCCACCAGAAGCTCTGCTGGGGCTGGGCAGGGAGAGCAGGACGAGGGATGAGCGGGGTCTGGGGGGAGAGCACGAGCTGGGGAGGTTCAGTGGCTCAGAAATGAGTTATTTCACACCACGGAGGCGCGAGTCACCCCCTGGAAAATGTGGGAGCGGGATTTACTGGAGGAGTCTTCACTGTGCCCTTTGAAATTGGCAGCTGAGCTCTCTCCTCGCTCAGGTGGGGCTCGGGGCAAGGTCTCTTGGCTGATATTTTTCTCTTCTCTATAATGTTGGGTTTGTCTCAGCCCCACAGAGACCCCCGTCCCGGCTCCAGGATTCCCAAACCCTGGCCCCACGCTCCCTGCAGCCCCGTGTCCCCACAAACGCTCTCCTTTTACTTAGTGACAAAAACCGCTGGGAACACACTTAAATCCTGCCTGAGGTGACTCTTCCACGGCGGCGGATGCTGTCACAAGTAGCCACAGGGCTACTGGTGGCTGTAAATCCAGAGGGAGGGTGATCCTATGGGAGATACCCAAGCCTTTTGCTCCCAGCTCTGGGATCAGAGGCTCCAGGTCACCTTCTCTCGGCCACGGAGCTTCTTGGGTGGGCAGAGGGGGGGTTTCTTCCCCTTTCCAGAGTTTTTCTCCCTTTAACACTCGTGTCTCAGCCCCTTCCAGCCCCGTCGGGAGAGGGCTGTGAGACAGGATCGTGTCCTCAGCCACAGCCCCGGTCGCCCTGGCCAGGACCTGCAGATTTCAGGTGCTTTAGGAACACGAAGACTTGAAATAAATAGAAATAAATGTAAAAAGCAGACTAAACCGACTCCTTAGGAACGCATCCCGAAGGCTTTCCCTGACCCTGCCCAGGGTCTCTCTGGGAAGGGGGGGCACAGAGAGGACCCCCCCCACACACACACACACCTGAGCTGTGTGAGGACTCTGACCCAACCTTTCTCCCCACAGATCCAGGATCTCCTCTCGTCCCAGGAGCAGCAGAAACCCGCCGAGACGGAGGCCAGCGCAGCAGACACAGGTACTGCCCCCCCTCGGCTCCAGAGACCCCCCGGCACGAGAACGGAGGCGGCAGCAAAAGCGTTTTTCCTCCCAAAAAAAGCATCTTTGGCCAAGGGATGGAGCGTTGGAGTGAGGGATGGAGGGGGGTCTCAGCTGTGTGTCCAAACCCCTGGTGGGAGGGGATGAGGAGGAGGGAGCTGGGCTCCCCTCAGCAGCGCCCGGGGAGGGGACAAGGGGCCGTGGCACAAACTGGAACATCTGAAATTCCATCAGAACAGGAGAAAAGGGGTTTTTTTTCCTGTGGAGGTGTGGGCAGGCTGTGGCACAGAGAGGATGGGGAGCCCCACCCTGGGAGATCCAAGGGTCCTGAGCTGAGGGTCTGACCAGACGTGCTTGAGGTCCTCCCTGTCCCATCCCTGGTGGGGTTTCTGTCCACGTGGAGCCACCTGGGCTGTCATGGAGCTGCTCCTCCTCCGTGGCAGCAACCCCAGCCCTGGGGTCTGGGTCTCACAGCCTGGTCAGGGCTACCTCCCTGTGCTCCTGGTGTGTCCATGGAGACAGAGGAGAGCCCCTGGTCCCTCACCGCATGTCACGGAATGGTTTGGGTGGGAGGGGACCTTAAAGGCCATCTAGGTCCTATGGGCAGGGACACCTCCCACCAGCCCAGGTTGCTCCAAGCCCCCTCCAACCTGCCCTTGAACCCCTCCAGGGATGGGGCAGCCACAGCTTCTCTGGCCAACCTGGGCCAGGCTCTCACCACCCTCAGGGGAAAGAATTTCCTCCCCAGATCTCACCTCAATCTCCCCTTTTTCAGGTTAAAACCCTTCCCCCTCGTCCTGTGGCTCCCCTCCCTGATCCAGAGTCCCTCCCCATCTCTCCTGGAGCCCCTTGAGGGCCTGGAAGGGGCTCCAAGGTCTCTGCAGAGCCTTCTCTTCTCCAGGCTGAACCCCCCCAGTCTCTCAGCCCCCCTCCCAGCAGAGGTCCATGGACCCTGCTGAGGTCCATGTCTTGTTCCTCACCAACATGCCAAACGCTTGCCCAGGTCCTGGTGTCTCCTGGCTCGAGTGATGAGGAGCCCTTCTCCTTGCAACCAGTTGACCTTGGTGGTTTCCAGAGCAAAACCTCGTGGCTCTGGTTGCTCTGCCCCCACTTTGGTTCCCTCCCTCTCCCCCCCAAAAAACCCTTCCATGATGCCAACCCTCCCCTCTCTCTTCCTTGCAGGAAAGCAGCTGGTGCACTACACGGCCCAGCCCCTCTTCCTGGTGGACTCCAGCGCGGTGGACATGGGGAGCGGGGACCTGCCCATCTTCTTCGAGCTGGGGGAAGGGCCCTATTTCACGGACGGAGACGAGTACTCGGAAGATCCCACCATCTCCCTCTTGTCGGGGACTGAGCAGCCCAAACCCAAGGACCCTGCGATATCCTAAAGGGTTTAGGAGGAGAGGAAGAATCCACACCTAAAGGGAAGATCCCAGCCGTCAGCAGCCTCCTCGCTTCGCACAGACGTTGACAAAGCTCTAAACACCCTCTGGTTCGTGTTCGCTTCCCCCGGCACCGTGAGGATTTCATTTGTGTGTGTGCTTCAATGAGGTGTTTTGAAATCTGCTTTAGATTCTCCAGCCACCCAGCGCTCCTCCGCTTTGGTGGCCGTTGCCTTGGGGAGGTGGGGGGTGAGGG